TTTTTTTCGATCATTTTTCATTCGCAAAATAATAAATATAGAAGATAATAATAAACTTGAGAGATAAAAATCTCAAGCAAGAGAATGGCGGCAATTCAAACATTTACCGCATATTTACATAACATTGAGCCAAAAAAACATTGATGTATCGTTTCACACGCACATCATTATTATCATTATTTTGTTTTTTTGAATGTGATAAATGTATGGATAAAATATTGTCATATCTTATCATATTTTACCGCGATCAATAAACTCAATCATCATCATCGTTTGATGTTTCAGTTTGACAAAAACCTTTGACTGTTTTCCAAGCCGAAATTGATTTCCAAACAAAAAAAAAATATTGATTTTCGAAAAAAGTTCATTCAAGGTTGTGATCAAACCTTGTATAGTTTGAAATAATAATAACCGTTTTCGTTTGGACATTGTTTTAATAAATCCCGGAAAAAAATGAATTTAAAAAAACGGCGGAATTTTCATTCAATTTCAATTTATTATCGATTTTTCTTTTCAAAAATGTGGTAAAAAGCAAGAAATCAAAAAAATCGAGCAAACCAACACGGAAATGTCAAAAATATAGCAAACAAAGATCAACATTATTAAACAAACAACAATATTGATCGTCTGTTATCAATGTTTATGTTTATTTTTCATTAAAATTTATTTTGAATTTTTAAAATTTTTAGTTTTTTTCCATCACTGAAAAAGAAAATAAATTCTTTTCAATTTGATAAACAAACAAACAAATAACAGTCAGTCAGTGAGTCTAATATTAGCATCTTTCATTATTTGATTTACTTTCAGTGAAAAAATACCATTCGAAATTTTCCTGTTTCTCTTCCGCTTGCACATAAGAATTCATTCATACGTTTATTATTCTTGATAGTAATAATACCTGAGATCTTAACATGGAAAGAAACAGGTAAAGAAAATAAATCTTTCTTTCACTTTCTAGTCACTTCACTTGACTATGTTTTGCATATAAAGAATTTTTTTTGCTTATTATCAAAAATATTCCAGATATCATTATACTTTTTGGTTGTTTTTCGTTTTCCAACTGAATTGGCTGAATGGGAAAGAATTAATGACCAATCTTTTTGTTTTTGCATTCTGCATAACTTGCATCAGCCCAAAGACTTGGTGTATTTAGTTTTAGTTTCAGTTTCAGTTTTTTTTTGGTTTTTTTCAAACAAAATTCTTATTTATTCTTACTGGGATAATTTATCTTTCTGTTTTTTTTTTGTTTTTGACTCATTCTTTTCGAAAGTAACAGGACCAGAGTTCTTTATGCATAAACTTGATGAATTTTTTTTATTATTAAAGAAAGAGAAAGAGAAATCATATTGTAAGATTTTTCTCATTTTACTTGAATTTTATTAAAAAAATTTCATTTTCCTGAAAATGAAATGAAATTAAATAAACAAACAAACTTTCGCTTTTTCTTCGTTTTTTCCAACAATTTTTCCTTTAGAAAATGAAAATAAAGCAAAGAAAATATGAAGAAAAAAAAATTTGCTTCATGTATCTCACTAACCTAACCTCACTGAACTATGAATCACAGCCACAGTCATAGTCATCAACCTAACCTCACTGAACTATGAATCACAGTCATAGTCATGGTCATCAACCTAACCTCACTCAACTATGAATCACAGTCCTAGTCATGGTCATCAACCTAACCTCACTCAACTATGAATCACAGTCATAGTCATAGTCATCAACCTAACCTCACTTGACTATGAATCATAGTCATAGTCATAGTCATCAACCTAACCTCACTCAACTATAATTTTTTTCTCTCAAATATTGAAAAATCGAAAAAAATTTGTTTTGAAAACAATTTTCAATCATCATTATTTCAAAAGAAAAAAACATTTCCTTTCATCTCAAACACAGAAAGTAATCAAGTCATCAATCGTAAACATCGTTTTTTTGCTGCCCTTGCTTGCTTGCTACCACATTGATCAACACAAAACATACGGAAGTATACGGCATTCACGAATTCAAATACAAAATCCATCCATTTTGCAATAGAAAAGAAATTGAACCAAAAGAAAAATCTAGATTTATAAATGATGGATCGTTGTCGTCGTCGTCGTCATCGAACAAACAAACAAAAAATAACGGTAGATTCTTCATATAAACATACCAAACAAACAACATAATCTCTCCGAAGATTTCTCACTTTTTTCTTCAGAATGTTATTTAAAAAAACGAACCAGTGAGTGACGAAAACATTGAGGAATTGTGAGTGAAAAAAAAGTGTGCAAAGGAAACAGAAAAACTTCAAAAAAAAGATTGATTTTGACTGAATGGTGAATGAATGATGATGACAAGTCAACACAGGAATATAAAGAAAGAAAAAAAGAAAAAAATCCTTATTTTATAATCAAAATATTGGGTTGTTAAGATTTTCTTTGTTCAGTGAAGTTTTTTTTTTTTTGACAGTCTTTTTTTCTTCAAAAACAACCAAAACAAAACACGTATTCAATTTATGTTTTCAACAAACAGAAAGAAAAACACGCGAGACATATTCATGTCAAAAAAAAGAGAGGAAATATATGCAAATTAGCCCTAGAATACATCTTTGATTTTGACAATTTGACAACAACCAAAATAATCAATGTGTGTGTGTGTTATATAGGCAAAATCGAAAGGATTAGATTTGTCGTTTTCTTTGGAGGGAGAAAACATGTTTTGAGTGGTGCTGGTGATGGTAAACATAATAAGAAAATATGGATTTATAATCCGGTAATATTGATGTGATGGAAAAAATATTTTTCTTTTTCTTTTTCGGCTCTCGAATTTTCCCGGAAAGATTTCTCTCTCGAGAGAAAATCATATTTATCATCATCATCATAAAGATATTTATGGTGTGATGATAAAACAAGAAAAAAAATTGTTGAAAAAATAATGGAAAATAATGATGATGATGATGATGAACTGACAACAACAACAAAAAACATCAATACAGAAAAATTTCCTGGAAATTTTTTTTTTCGAAAAACTTTCTAAAAAAGGAAAATATTCCCCATCAATATATCTATCGAATAGAGGAAAGGATCGATAATTTTTCATTACAAAATAAAAACGAAAACCAACAACATTTTTTCAACAACAAACAACAAGAAAAACTATTTTTGCTGATTCATGATGTGTGAAACACACACACACATCCCAACACAAAAGAATCCATCATTACCACCATCATCATCATAGGAAAGAATTCACTTGGTGTTTTGATATTTTGTATGTGGTTTTCATCATTATCGTCATCGAATATTTTCGGATGAAAAACAGAGAAACAAACAAAAATAAAATAAACCCACCAGAATATAATAGACAGAAGAAGAATCTAACGATATTATCGAAGGAAAAGAAGAGTAACGAAAAAAATCAATTGAATGATGGCGCCTTTGGATTGAATTTTCTTTCATCACATTTTTTTGTTGGTTTTTTGGGATAAAAATCGATCAGCTCCATAGTCTTGTTTTGCCCATATCTCTCTCTATATGGATCGTTTGGCAATTTTCCAGAATCTTTTTTTTCTGGAAACTAAAAAGTTTTTGTTGTTGTTTTCATTTGATTTTTTTGTTGTTGAAAATAGAAAAAAAACTGAAATCAAATCAAAACAAAAGTTAAAGTTTTTTCACTGTTGTTTGTTTGTTGATTGGCATTTATCGTTTGAATATTTTTTCTTCTCAGAATAATATCTCAATATAAGAACCAGAACCAAAAAAAGACATTGAAAAATTCAATCAATCAAATTCAAATTCTGATTGATTGATTGAAAAGCGATTTTCAAACAAAAAAATCCTCTAAAGATTTCCAGGAAAAACGACGATTGATTGAAAATATTCTTACCGAGAAATTCTTCATTGGAAAAACAAAACAATTTTTCCAATTGTAAATCCTCAATGTTCACACACAAACAAACAAACACAGAGAGAAACATCCTTTTTGATCAAAAAAAACTAATTGAAAAGAGGATTTCATTTTTGCCAGAATACTTTTCAATAATAATTGATCATTATAAATATTTGAGGAAACAAAAGGGTTAATCATAATCATAATCATAATGAAAATCATAATGAAAATGGCAATACAATCGGACAACATCAATAACGACAACAACAACAACAATGGGAAAAGTGTTGAAAAAGTTTTCTCTTTTGTCATCATCATCATCATTATCATCATCAACAGGGAAAATTCTTGGGAAATGATAATCGGAAGGAAACAATTTTTATTGTCATTTCGAGTGACAAAAGAAGAAATAACAAATCGAACAAAACATAAAAAGTCCTTGGAAATGGGATGAGAAAAATTTGTTGTTTTCATTTTCTCGGTCCCAAATTGGTCACCAGAAAAAAAATTTGAAATTGAAATTTGAAAAAAATGATAAAAAAGGCAATCATTTTTCGAAAATCATTTTAGTGTGAATCATATGAATTCATCACTTTTTTCGCACAACAATTGAATGAATGAATGAATGTAAATCAAATTTTCTTTTCGCTAGTTTAGACATCACTTGAAATCATCATCACTGATATGCCAGCAATGGAGAAAAGAAAGAGAAAAAGTGAAAATTTTCTATTCAATTTTGTTGGGAAATTGATTGTGAAAAAATTGAATTCAATTTTGGACAAACGATACAGTCAAACAGAAAAATGATTGCCAGGTAAACTTTCTTCGAAAAAAAAACATTTTTCTTTCTTTTGGCCAAAATAACCAAATCGATAAGTGTCGAAAACAAACAAATATAGACATTTCATTTTTATCATCACCACCAAATGATAAAAACTTGATGAAACATGAGCCTTATGAAAAAAATGAAAAAAAGAAAAAATTTCCAAATAAAAAAAGGTCGAAACCAAATATTAAACACACACACACAGAGGGAGAAAATATATCAGATTTCCGATATAGAAAATGATTATTATTGAAAAAAACAGAAAAAATTGATATTTGAGTGAACGGTGGGTAAACAAACTCACCAAAATGATGATTGTACAATTGATGGTCAATGGATAATGATGATGTTGTTGTTGTCGGTGGTAATGGTGGTAAATTATGATGAACAAAAACAATATTTTCAATATTATCACTGAATGATGAGGATGATGTAACACTAGATGATGATGATGGTGGTCGATTAGTAAAAAAAGAAAAAGTAAAATTGTTTTTGATCTGATTAAAAGTTTGATGACTTTGTTGATGATCTAATGGTGGTGGTGGCCAATGATTATCTGCTGACCTATCATTTTTGTCAATTTTCATTACAAAATGACGATTCTTCATTATTTGACAATTATCACAATGATAATCATCATTATTATGGAATGATGATGATATTTTAGCGGTTATTGTCATAACTTTGATAATCATTATAATTATGATTAATAATATGGATAATTTTAAATTTTTCATCATCGTTGTTGTTGTTGTTGTTGCTGACATTGATAATGATGATGATTGAAAATTTATAATTAATGATAATGGCCATTGAAATAAATATCTAATAAACCGTATCAATAATGGTTGTTCCATCTTTTTTTCCGTTATTAAAATTTCCAATTCTTCCAGTTTTTTTTCTTCATGTCATTCCATTTTCATTCTGTAAAAAGAAAAACAATTAGTGAAAAAATTTCGACAAAAATCATATTTGTTTTGATAATGATCATCATTTTCTTAAATGATTTTTTCTTCTCAGGAAAACAACAGCCAACTTCAAATTTTTTTCAACATAACTCAAACACAGAGAAATGTTTCTGGAAAATGGGAAAAGATGGAACTTTTTGAAAAAACTTTTTATCCTTATTCCAATGCCTTCCAGCTTTAACCACAACACCCAAACATCCATCCATCCAATATGGATATGATATAAAAAAAATTGAATTAACATTTTACTGATGATCATTTCAACTATTTTGGTTTTTTATTCTGGTTTGAATGTTGTCCCAAATGAATACTATTTTTCACCGAAAAAAATGTCTCAATAAGAAATCTATCTCATATGGAAATTATGAGGGAAAAAAATATCAGTCAAAATCGAAATTCTGAATCTGCTGCGGTGAATGAAAATGAATTTTTCCTCGATAGCATCACTTGAAATTATCATTTTTTCAAACTAAATAAATAAAAAAGATTCTTTAAGATTCATGAGTAATGTAATGAGAATTGAAAAGAAAAAAAAAGAAAAATTGCAAACATTAAATAAAAAAGAATTACGATGGATTTTGGTGGATTGAGCGACTAGAATGAAAAAATAGAGAGAATAAATCCGATCACATTATATTGTTTTGGTTTTTGTTTTGAGTGAATTTCTGTCGACTAAATTTCAATTTCAGAGAGAATATATCTAGAGAGAGAATGACTTTCACTAATCGGGTTTTTCCCATTCCATTTTTTATTCCATTCGAAATATCTTTCTGGCTTGGTTTGTTTTGTAAATTGGCAAAAACAAACGAAAAATTTTTCCCATTTCATTTCACATCCGGCACACACACACACACACATCAGTATTATATTTTAATTGTTTTTTTTCTCGTTTGGTTGGTTGGTTGTTGTCATTTTTTTCATTCACCCAAAGGACATTTAGCATTTTTCATTTAGCATTTTGGCTTTTATCTGCGTTTGTTTTCATTGTTTTTTGTTTGACTCATTATTTTAATTGTATCAATTAATTAAATTTAGATAAAGAAATTTTAAATGTAATTTTGTTTTGTTTTGGGAGCCTAATTTAAACAAAATCAAAAATTCCATCAAAATCAAATTGAAAACAAATCAAAATCACCTGCTTAATTCCACTAATTGAAAAAAATAGTGCCATTTTCATTTTGGCGAATCTATCAGGCCGAAAACAAAACCAGGCAGAACAAACAAACAAACAAAAATCTATCTGTTTTTCATCAGTGATATACACTCAATGTATGATTGTCCAATGTGAAAATTTCCAACAAAAATAGTAAAAAGGAGAAAAACATACTGCCTTTTTTCAGTAGTTTTCATCAACAATGAATGCTGATGATACTGATGAAAAGATGAATGAATAGAGAGAAAAATATGGAAAAAAGCTTGATCGGATCATTTTGAGAGAGAGTGAAAGATTTCCAATTCTGAATTCAATGAATCTTTTTTTGTGTGTGTGTGATAAATACACACACTGAGCATCCACAACTAAATATAATAATTCAATTTTCTTTTGCTTGCTCTATAGATATCTCCAAAACACACATCAGTTCTATTCATTTTTTCATATCACCACCAACATCTTTACCAATTTACTAAGTTTTTTTCTTTTGGTTCTAATAGATTTCTCTCTTTTTTTCATTTATCAAAAGAAATATTGAGTGAATATCAATTTCCAATGATGATGATAATAATAACAATAATTGAAAAAAAAAATTCTTTTTGCTGGTTGTGTTTGGATGAATGAATGGGGAAAATCGATTAGTTTCGTTTTTTTTTGTTGCCTAAAGAAAAATACGAAGAATCGAAATGAAGAAAATTATTCCATCATTTCAATTATCAATAAGTTTGTGTGGATATGTTTTTGAGAAATTTGCTACATTGGAATGAATGGAAAGAATTTAACAAAGATAAAAAATTGGAAAAAACACCGAATGAATTTGTTGTTGTTCAAAAGATTTTTTTTTGTTTGCATCATTTTCATTGGAAAACAACAAACAAAAACGATCAATTGTCATCATTATCATTCGTTCGTTCGTTTTGGTGATCATCAGAAAAAATACATTTCGAAACAGAAAAATACATCTCAATAATCTGGATAAAAAAAATAAAGAATCTTTGTAATCATTTCTTTTCAAAACAAAATAATAATGATAATAATGACTTATAGACTTGGTGATTAACTTTTTGTTTTCATTTCTTAACGAAAAATTCACTAATGGCTAAAAATGATATAAAATGTAATGAATTTTAAAAAAGAGAAACATAGCCAAAATACAGAGAACATTGATTTTTTTCCATTCAATTCAATTCATTGATTGTCTATAACACACATAGTATCAATTCGGATTCATTTCGATTTTGTTTTGTTTTTTTTCAGATGATTAGAGTTATTGTTTTTGTTCAATTTCCCCCGTACATCAACGATTACATAACATTAAAGCAGAAAAAATGTTACCCACCACATTTATCCAAAGCAAAGTTTATCCTTTTGCATTAAACGGTTCTGAAACAAAAAAGCAATGATTATTATTATGAAAAATTATCATTATCAATATTTTTTCATTGCTTGTTTGTTTGTTTGTTTGTTAATGTTTTTCATCAGGCACCATTTAATCATCATTATTTCATTCATTTTAAGTTAGCAGCCAAATCAATGTTACAATGTTCCCATTGCTCAATTCACATATGGTCATCATATGATCATCATCCAAAAAAAAAAAAAAAAAACAAAACAAAAGTTTCAACAAAAAAACAAACAAACAAAATGAAATAAACTGAAATGGATCTATTTTTCTAGCAAAAAAACTAGACGGAATATTTTTCAATTTCATTATCAAATTCTCTTATCATCATCATTATAATCATCAAATCTTTTTGATTATCATCATCATCATAATTCACCAGCAAACAAACAATGAGATGAAGAGAACCAAAAAACAAAACAAAAAAAAACATCAACATCATATCTATTTATTGCCTTTATCATCATTATCTGTATATCATAAAATTAAATATTTAGCTTCGTCAAGATGATGATGATGATAATTATTTTTGTTTTTGTTTTCAACTCTTTCATCTCATCATAAACATCATCTTGAATAAACATCAACAATGAATGAATGGAGTGGAAAAGTGAAAAAAAAAGAATCGAAATTCTGCCAAAAACAAAAACATTTTATCTGAGTGCAGAAAAACCATCATTATTTTGTTTGTTTTTTGTTCTGTGATTCTGTGGTTTTGTTTTTTTTCAGCAAGCATATAATCCAATTTGATGATAATATGATGATGATGATGGCAAAACAAAATTGTTGAAAATTCACGAAATAATGATGTTTATCATCATTTTTTATTCAAGGTTTTGTTTCAAACTTTTCTTCTTCTTTTTTTGATTGACATTTTTTTTTGTTTATAAATCGAGTAGAAAAAATTACATATTTTGTTGGTTATCATCATCATCATTTTCGAATGATGATAATTCATGATGATGACAAATGTAAAATGAATACAAAAGTATCTTTTGATACCCGATTGGGAAAATAGTTAGCCATATTATTATTGTTTCATTTTCCGCAACAAACAAAAAAGATAATTTAATCAAGACGAAACGCGAAAAGAGAGAGCCAACGAAACCATATTATTATCCATTTCTTTGATTACAAATTCTCAATTAGAAACACACACACACAATGGCCAAACGATAGACCAAAAAATTTGAAACAAAGCACAAAGAATTCTCAATGGAGACAAATGTTTGTTTATTCTTTTTTCCCTTCTTATATCTCCATTTCTCTATATATCCATAGAGAATGATTCGAGCCAAAACAAAAACTAAAATGATGAATCCTATGAAGAAAAGCAAATAGAGAATATAGGGATATTTGTTTCAAATTTAATCATTAAGATAGGATTTCATTTCATTTTATCATCATTTTTTTCTGTTTGCCATATTCTTTGCCCTAAAACCATTTTTATAGGGAAAAAAGTATCGAATTAATGATGATTAATTTGATGATCAGAAAAAATTTGCATATTATTCAATTACTCCGAATCATTCACACTCATTATGTAAGAAATGTTTTTTTCGTCATTCTTTAAAAATTAATTTGAAAAAGTTTCTTGCTTTGAAAACTGATTTCAGATCACCCACCTAACCAACACCAACAACAACACGATCACAAGAGTAATTTTCTGAATGAAAAAAATTCAATTAATCATTTTACTGAATCAAATGATCATTTTGACTTGTATTCAAATACAAATTGAAATTTTTTCAAATTTTTTTTGTTTTGTTTTAGTGTTTCCAATTTTAATTATTCGTGAAATGTTTTTTGTTTGCCACAAAATTT